AAGGGCAGGGAAATGATATGTCACAAATAAGCACACAGGTTCACTCTGATTTTAATTTTAGTGCCCATGACTGATGGCACTGACTCTCCTGCAAGCACAGTATGGTCAGCTCCTTCCAATGATCCTCCAGCTCTTGCGCTATAGCCATGGTAAGGAGCTCTGATAATTTGCCTCATTTCTGCCCTGCAGCCTTCTCTTCTATTACAGTGTCATGCCGCCTTTATGCCCATTGTGGGAGCTGGGCCAGACCCTCAAACGCTATTTGCTGCGCTGTAATGCGCACTGTAAGGGAAATGGAAGGTCCTTTGATTCAAGCAAATCTCTTCATTTCTGTGTGTTGAAGGAATAAGAGGAAGAACAGTGGACCAAGGCAATGACTGTATATTCCAACTGAAGCATTTTCATCCAGGAACTTGTAATCATGGTGATGCAGCAGCAACTATCAATGAACATTTCTACCATCTCAGCTGCAAAGCCTAACAAGCCAGGATTTTGCTTTTCTTTCTTGGAAAATGATCACCATCTGTGCACTTCTCAGAGCTGAAACAGCTTTCCCCTGCAAGCTGGGATGATTTTATTCTGATTTAATTCAAGAACGTTAAGCCTTCCCCTCTTGTTGCATACTAAGCTGACAACTGATATTTGCCAATGAACATGGGGATGGTAACTTCACAGGGTTTCCTTTGCTATGGTTGCCATGTTAGGTGGGCTGGTTTTAAAGATAGAAGACCATAACCGGGGGAGCCAGAAGACTTGCTGGGCAAGGTGGGGGGAGGGGGCCGGCACTCACGGAAGGGGCGGGGCCTTGGGCAAAAGGCATAGGTCAGAAACAGTCAGTCCTCAGCACCTTCTGGAGTGTGCCACGGCCTCCTTCTTCCTAGGCAGCCCCTTAGATCTGCCAAGAGTATGCCATGCAGGCACTCGAGCTGAGATTTAAAGGGCTGGTGGTCAGAAGTCCCAAGCCCTTTTGCACCGCCAAGCCCCAGGGCAAATGCCTCCTTTAGCCCCGCAACCAAAACCAACCCACTCAAACATCTACTGATGTTAGGATATGGACTAACCTGTTCATGGGGCCCAAATGCTATGAGCACCATAGTCACATTTTGAGCTGCACTGAAAGGAAATGAAAGCTGTCACCACATGTGTTGTGTGATTTCAATCAAAAATGTACCAGCTCTGTTTGCAACTGGCAGCAGAGTGACAGCACGGAAACTATAAATGGAAAGGCAGCTCATACATTAGTAGCATGCACAGATGCTTATCATTTTTTCTCAGTGCAATAAAATAATCAGAGAGGCCTAAGCCAGTGGTTCTCAGTCTCTAGTATCCTTACCAATAGTTTTACTTCTGGCTTTGGGGCTGGTATTCTAGGTTCCAGTTCCCAGCCATAATGATGAACCTGCATGGTATGTCCTGTTGGCCTTCTCCCCTTCATGTTCACAGGTTCTAAACTACAGTGGGGCTTAAACTGCTTGAAACTCCATCCTCATAACATCCCTGCTATTTGGTGCAGATAAAGTGCCATTGCTATTAGAAAAGACTCCTAAACACAGGGTTCCTGAGTCACATTTGGAGTTACTCACTTCTTTGTGTGGTACCCTAGGTCTTTTAATCAACACTTAAAAAAGAGGAAAATAAGTGTTCCTTTGCCTGCACGTAAACAGAGATATAGGAGCAGATTATCATTTAAACTGAGCCCCTTATATCTCTCTGGCAGTGTAAAGGGGCCTTACAGTGGGAATAAATGTAATTACACCCTTTTAAAAGGCCATCTTTATGATCTTCACACTGTCAGAAGCTGTAAAGGGTGCATAGTGCAACTGGGAATCAGGCCCATACTATAAACTATTGATCTTAATTATATATTTTACATATACTTGCATTCCAAACAAGATACATTGGTTACAAGTCGCATTCTAAATACATCACTATTACAAGTATTAAATTACAGTACTGTACGAATCTGCAGGGGGTAAGGCAAGATGCAGGTGCCAGGGGGATTGTGGGGTCTTAAGAATGGCATCTGAGAAAACCAGATTGTCACAGATACGCCAGCCACTGCTCTTGTAAATGATCACAAGTAGGGCTGAGGGGATTAGTGATCATCTAGTTCTCTCTAATCATGAAACAGAAGAGTCTTATGGCATATGTTTGTACTTAGACACCTAGCAGTATCTATATACCACCTACAAGCTCAGTAAAATGTGCAGTTTTAAGCTTTCTGAATTGCCAGTTTCAGCACCCAAAACGTACATTTTCTCTGCACTCTACCAACACAATATCTGAAATAAATCAGTTTGCCAAGGTATTACAGAGGACAGGGAGATACAATGACAAGCACCTGGCTGCACATAAAGCCTTCTAATCCACTAGCAGTATCATCATCTCAGCTTAATTCCATCTCCTTGTCTTATTTAAGCAATAAAACATGACAAGGGGGTGTGAATCATGCTGGGATAATACCATACTGAACCACATGGGCTGTGCGAGTCCCAGGAGCAGCATCAAAAGGCACATGTGATGTACATGCTTGCTTTGCCATGTCACATGACCTTTATAAAATCAGATACCATTAAATCAGAGAGATTCAAGATGCTGCATCTGATAAATTGTCTATATAAAATATGCATCTTGTTATATGCCTCTTGTTTTTTAGCTCTCTCTTCCTTCTTATATACTTCACTTTTCCTTTGATATTTTGATGCCTCTGTTCTTCAGCCTTTTAGTGACCTTTTAACATTTTTCAGCTCAGTTTGTTTTCTAAAAGTCTCTTGAAAAGGTTTTTCCTCTTCTGATTTGACCTTTCCCCTCCACATCTATTTTTGCTTTTGCTGTTTCTTCTCTTCTCTGTTCCAGTCTCTCTGCACCACTATTTATCCATTTCTCACCACTTTATTTGATTCCAAATGCAGATGAGATATAATTCTGTGTTACAGCCAGGCCTTTGCTATACCATATAAACATCTAGAAGTGCAGCAGTTGAGAAACTACTGGTGGCATGTCCTATGGCTGACTTACCCACGAATGGAAATTCTCTCAGGTCTTAAAAATACTTACATTTGCTTCTAGTCCCTTGGGTAGTAATGTGCAAGCAGCACTGTTTTTGCTTTACCGACTCTCATATAGAGTATCTCAAGTATTTTAGAAGATCCACTGTCCTTTTCTTAAAAAAACCCTCAAAGTGCTGCTTTTTGCATTTATCTTTCCAAATTGTGTAGCTGAAATTGATATCTGGCTAGAACTTTCTGGCTGCATTGCACCGAAAGCTCACATATCTATTTATATGTAAAAGCTTCCTTCATTTAAAAAAAAATTGATACAACACCCACATCTCTTGTACATCGAAGTCCTTACAGTATTCAAAAGGAATCACTTCATCTGGCAGATGTGGCTTGTAAGTAGAACCTTGCAAATTCACAGATATTTGTTTTGCATCCACATCCATGGATGTGGATGCAGATATCCATGGCTCATTTCTTTGGATTTGTGTGAGGATACAGATACACATTTTGTGATGCTGTTCAGAATGCAGCTACTGGAGTTTGCAGGGAAAAGGAAGGGATATGGACCATGGCTATAAAGAAAATCACTGATGACATGGTGTTTTCTTTGAATATCCTGGACAAATTTTACTGAATTAAGTTTAAGAATCTTGGGAGTTCATTGTATTAAAAATCAAATAGTTATGCTTTATTGTGGGATTGTGTATAACAACTCCAGGGGAGGGAAGACCCTGGGAGGTATGAGCAGCCACACAGGTTATTTGAAACAATGTGCCAGACAAGAATGAACTTTGTGGCTTTTATAGGAAATCTCTAAGGGGATGAGTATGCAAATGTAATCTCTCCAGTTATGAAAGAAGCCTTCTGAAGCTTTGCCCTGAGGAGGGGACCTTTGACTACTGATAATTTGTTGCATGAGGACCAGATCAGAGACCCAGGCAGTGTAAAGGGTGATGAGTCAAGGCGATTAGGAACTTATAAACACAGGAAAAAGAATTGGCAGGGCTTGAGGGACTAGCAGAGCTTTTGTTGGAATTGGGATGATCTCTGGTAAAACTTATTAGCATGCACATAGGCTCGATTATTATTTTCAGTAAGTCTTCGCTGTACTAGTTTTGCTTTAAGAATAAATGTTCTTGCTTAGAAAGAGCTGTGTGATACCTTACATCTCTGGGAAATGATGTTGTTTATAAGTGCTGAGGAGAAAGCAAAGCAGGGTTGTTTAAGCACTCACAGTAAAGGAACTCACAGTAAAGTCAGGGAGCTGTGCAGACTGAAAAAACCTTGGTCAGGAAGGAGCAAGAGATGGGCCTTACCAAAGAGAGATAATGGTTTGGAAACCTAGAGTGGTGCCCTTGCTGGAGCACAGAAGGGAGCAGGTGTAGTTACCCTGAATTGTGACAGAACCCTCACAACACAATTGTACGTTCATGGGTTAGCTCATTGTTTACCGTGCAGTATACACGTAAAAGGCAGATTTTTGACTTTCAGACACAGTATTCTTGATGCTTTCACTCCTTCTTCATAATTTACACTACAAAAACACCAAGTGGCCCCACCTGATGTTAGGGGCTCACTCTCCTGGTAACTATTCAAGCACATCATAAGAGACAGTCCCTGCCCCCAGAGATGTTAGCACTAACATTGGGATTGTCAAAAGTGCTGAATGTAGTTTGGCGCCCCAGTCCCATTCATTTAGTGTTTTTAACATGTGCTCCTAAATCTCTGAGGGACTTTTGACAATCCTACCCTCAACAGAAAAAGCAGCCAAAGAGTGGGAGAAAGGCAGGATTATCACCCCCCCATTCTACAGACAGAAACGAGAGCAGAGAAAGTGAGAGATTAAATGATTTACCCCAGCTCAGTCACAATGTTATTGGTAAAGCAGGGAACGGCATCTTTATTTCCTGAGATCCATCCTAGATTTTTAACCACAAACCAGCCTTCCATCATCTGCATTGCCTCTGTGTTAAAAGAACCCTTTGGCTTCCCACTTACATTTTCACTGTTGACATCTGCCTCGCTGGGGCAGCCAAAGAGCTCCCGTCTTAGCAGGTTCCCATCGTACTCTAGGAATGTCAGGTAGAGGTTGCGGAAAAACTCCACATGCTTGTTTTTCACACGCAGCTTCTTTGGTGAGTTCCAATGAATCACCTGGTAGGGAAAACAAAAAGGGAACAATCTCGTTGTCAGCATGCAGCCTTGCCTAGCCATCACCTTTATACATCTTTAAGATCCTTCCCTCTTCACACAAATATCCTTTCCTCTTTCTGTGTTTTCATTGGGAAGCTTTTGTGATATATCCCTTAAGTAATGGCGTGCACTGTATAGATCAGGGTGGACAATAATTTTCATGGGGGAGGGGGGGCACTTCACGAATTTTGGTACATGCTCGTGGGCTGGCTCTGGGCCCCCGAGAAGGGGTGGAGCCTCAGGCAGAAGGGGAGGAGCTGGGAGCTACAAAGAGAGACAAAGAGATTGTGTGAGTATCAACGAGACAGTCTGGGTACATCTACACTGCATGGCTATCTCTGGATATCAGAAGTACAGGCAGTCCCCGGGTTACGTACAAGGTAGGGACTGTAGGTTTGTTCTTAAGTTGAATTTGTATGTAAGTCGGAACTGGTACATATTTTGGGGGGGATGGGGAGCTGGAGTTAGGTGGAAAAGACCCTGATTCTCATACAACTTCCTTATTATAAGAAAAACACATACTGTTTTGATATGAAGGTTTTTTTGGTTGATAATTTAATTAAAAATTGATCATAAGTTTCAGTGTTTCATGCTATATCCAAATCTTCCTTTTGGGGTACCTGAAAGATCCCAGTTATTCATTTAATAGTCAGAATCTTTGTTTTTTATAACTAAAAAAAGTTTATTCAATGCATATTACTGTTCCAAATAGAATTTGCTACAGATGGTTCAGTGAAATGGGTATTAAGTGTAATCAATAGTCATTGGAGAGCACAGTGAAATATTGATACAATCAAAGCTGTTGTTGTATTCTGCTGAGCAGAAAATGGAAATCCCTTCCTGTGAAGTGTGTGTGAGAGAATTTATCCACAGGATTAATTTTAAAGAAAAATTCTGTGTTGGGAACAGGAGTTTAGCCACAGGTGGGTCCTCATTGTCCACTCACCCACTTTGCAACCAGACCCATCCCCTCGGGGCTTACCCTGCTCCGCTCCAGCCAGGGTGTGGGGTTGGGGCTTATCCCAAATGGAAATCCCTTCCTGTGAAGTGTGTGTGAGAGAATTTATCCACAGGATTAATTTTAAAGAAAAATTCTGTGTTGGGAACAGGAGTTTAGCCACAGGTGGGTCCTCATTGTCCACTCACCCACTTTGCAACCAGACCCATCCCCTCGGGGCTTACCCTGCTCCGCTCCAGCCAGGGTGTGGGGTTGGGGCTTATCCCCTTTTCCCTTCTGTCCTGCTCCTCCCCATTCTTGCCCACCCACACCACTGGTTAATTTTTCAGCTTCACCTCTGCCAGGCTGGAAGGGACTTGTTAATTTCACGCGACGCTAACAAGATACTTGCAGCTCTAGTGCTGAAGAGGGAAAAAGCTGTTGCTCCCAAGGTGGGGACTGTAACACAATGAGTCTCACTGCCTGCTGCTCCTGCTGTTCCCTAGGAAATTAATTTTTCCACTCTGGAGTGCCCCCTTTTGGCTGGTGTCTTGTTCCCCCCAGCAGCCCTGCGTCCTCCGCGGCGAGAAAAGCCGCTCCGCACTGCTGTGGGGAAGTGCCCCCCGCGCTGCCAGAGGTGGCGACAGTGGGGGAGGCACCCCGCCCTGCACTGGCTGCCCCCCCCCCCGTTTGTAACTAGGGATCCGACGTAAGTCGGATTGATGTAACCCGGGGACTGCCTGTATCCCAAAATATCTACCCCACATTTTCACAAGCTGCCCGTTATTTTGAAATATTTTTCAAAATAATGGGTGTACTATTTTGGAATTCTGGTAACCTTCATTCCACGAGGGGTAAGGGATGTCTTGAAATAGTGCATTATTTCTAACTTTGGTGTGGTGAATAGTGCATTATTTCTAACTTTGGTGTTGTGTAGAGGCACCAAATTTTGAAATAGGCTTTTTTGAAATTCAATTGAAAATACTGGAGCAAGGCGGGAGGAGGAGCAGCTGAACACACACTACCTGCTATAAATATGCACAGCTTTGTTAATCAGCTGGGTGGGCCAGAGAGAAATGCTTTGCAGGCTGGATCTGATTGCTGGGCCTGATTTTGCCCATCCCCTGGTACCCTGGTGCTTTGTAATGCAACATCACAGACATGGTGGCAAGGCTGGAGTCATGGACTGGTTTTATGTTATACATGTTGGTGAGGGGAGAAGTGTGATAGAGAAAAAGATGGAGCTATACAATTTGGCCTGGGATTTCTCTTGTGACTGTCCCAGCTGATGAAAATGATTCATTATCTAGTGTCACACAGCATCTTTACTTGGTAATTAAAGAGAAAGAACCTCAAATTAATTTCTGTTTTGTGGTACCCAGCCCTCTGCCCCTCACAGCAGACGGAATCTGATCCAAAAATATACATTAACTGACAATGCTTCATGGGAACTTGACTGAGCTTTGCTGTGTTGCTTGGCAACATCATCCTCTCATTCCTTTAAGTCCAACTGCCAGCAGGTATTTAGCCATTGCTAGAAGGTGATGACTCCCTTACTGGCCTAGGTTTAATTGTCTCCCAGACATAAAGGGTCTGATTCTCATTTACGTTAGGGCTACTTCACACTGCTCTGTCAGCATAACTGAGCATAAAGCCCAAAGAAAACAGCAAGAGTTGGAGCTAGAAGTGGCTTGTGGGAATGATTTCATTTTATGGAGGTTAGATTTTAGCCATAAACATGAAAGCTTTATATTCAGTTATTTTCTGTGATTTCCAAAGGGATTAAAAAAAACCCCTCTTTTAGAAGTACTTCCAGATGGGGACTTGTGGAGGTCTTGTGTACCCATTAAAATAATGATGTGAAGGCATGGTATCCCTCACAGTCATTTACACCAGATTTCTAGGGTGTCAATTACTAACTTAGCAGTTGCTGCTGTATCTCTGCATCATAAATGTTGTTCTTATTTTCTGATATGGAAATCTTTATTCTTTCCCCAGTCATTGATGTTGAACAAATCAAGATTTCTGAGGGCCAAATATGCAGTGATACAAATTCAAGTTGTGAAAAATAAGATCACATTTAGAAAAAAGAAAATCACTTAAATAAATCAAATACAAATAATGAAGTAGTCACAGACTGTGTAGTCTGGAAAAAATTACTTGGAACAAAGATATTGCTCTAAATTATTCTTAGGCAGTGTTACCTTTTATTGGTGTTGTTTTGCCTTTTTCTATATTCTCAGTGTCTAGTTTAAATCCGAAATAACATCCTCTATACGAGAGGCACACAAGGTATAGTAACAAAAGAGATCCTTAACCAGTATTGCTGGGATCTAAAACAGATTCAAAGCCATAGAAGATTTAGTCCAACAGAAGAGTATCTTGAAAGACTCCCTGCTTTAAAAAGAGCTTTATTGGTTTCATCCCATTGTGTTTAACTGCAGCAGAGAGCACTGCAAAAAACAAATCTGAATTCTACCTCAGAGAAAGGAGACAAATATATTAACACAAGCAAGGAACTGAAGGAAATCTAAGGGGCCGCTAAACAGTTTTAAAGGGTTCTAGCATTTTTGTCAAACAGGCATGGAATGCAAACTGTTCATCTGCTGATATCTTGGACTGCTTTAAGAGGCATTCAAAGCACAGAAGGACTGGAAAAGTGCAAGAAAAATGCATACAAATGAAAGCTTTTCTGTGTTACTACTCCCACATCCCACTAGGATGATTTCCTTTCTGCATCCCCTCTGTGTATTATATCTCCTGCCTGAGCACCTCATAACCTCATCTTGGGGACCTGAATAATGCAAATAATTAAAGAAAATAAACTAAATGTGTGGGTGTATAGGATTCTCTTCCCCACAGAGATTTCCCATCATCACACACTATGCCACATTGCAGCAGAATACTAGTGCCATGATGCCTCTACTCTACTAAGTGGATGATGACATCACATCTAGACACAGATACCAGCTTGGATCTCCGTGCTGCTGGGATTGAAAAGCTATTGCATCTGCAAATGCTGGTAAGTGTCAAGGATCTGGTGATCACAATCTGATCAGATTTGAAATGTGTGTCAAGATTCTGTATGTGCACAAATATCATGGCTGCCTGGAGTGAGCAGGAGAATGATGAATGGAACTGATTAGTGTCCAGAAAACTTGATTTTTTATCAAGGAGGACAAACAGATGTCACCAGATTAGAAGACAGAAAGAAACTACGTAACCAAGTCAAGGACACTAGAAAAAGCACAAAAAAGGGCAGGGTTTATTTTTAAAAAGAGTGTGATTATTGAAACTCCCTGCAATACCTGAAAATATGAAAGAATGGCAAGCTTCACAAAGCACAGAGTGTCTTAACCATCAGTGTGAATTTTTCACAATATATACAGAAAATGGAATGTTTTTTCTAGGTGCCAAACACACACATTTATCATGGACTCAGACTGAAGCTGGATTGTTTCTATCTTTTGCACTACCATCAACAGCAGAAAGATGTTAGTGCAACCTTACATGGGTTGGGACAGGCCTCACTGAGGGTGTAATATGAAGACCATACAGTTGCATAAATATAGCTAAAGCCATAATGGGGCTATGAGAACCTTTGCTATTGGAAATGATGCATCAAATGGTAACAATTCAGTTTGACTGTTAAGAGTTTAAGGACAATTTGGCAGATAGGGAAATGAAAAATAAATGAAATGAAATGAAAAATAAATCTTTACATGCAAGATGAGAAAATCTGAGTTGGAAAGTAGAAAGAGGCAATGAATGTAGAACTCCAAAAGGTCATTTTTCTATGTCAGGATTGAACCTCACTTTAATTAATTAATTAATTAATCAATCAATTCATTCATTCCTCCCTCCCTCCCCCTCTCTCACTCACTATTTCTTTCTATTTCCTAGCATTTTAAAAGAAATTGTGCAAAGAAAGAGCTTCAATTTCCAGAATTTGAAAGCTCTGCTGGTGTGGAACCCCCCCTGCAGCTAGAATATGTAAATTCCACGGCCTGGAACTACTTGGTTAGACACCACATGAATACAGGTATCTTTGACCAAGGCCTCCTCAGAACAAAAGAAAATACACCCATTAATTTTTATTTAGATATTTATGTACAGTAGACTTCCGATAATCCGGAACCTATGGGACCTAGGTGGTGCCGGATTATCAAATATGCCGGACTATCAGGAGGTACTATAAACTGGTTATATGTATATACTGTATACATTATATACTGTATATGAAGTGTTCTTAACCCTTTTTATTGTATACACCGTATACAGTGTACTGTAATGTTTTAGTTTTTTTAAAGCCTTTTTTACCCTTTTTGCTCAGTTCAGCTGCTGCCGCTGTTACCTTGTGACTCTTTTTTTGCCGAAGCTCGCTCACTAGGCTCTTGCCATTTTGATGCCGGACTATCAGGAGAGCCAGACTATTGGATGCCGGACTATTGGAGTTTTACTGTACTAAAAAGATGAGATCTTAGAATTCCACACCTATTTAACACCTGATTAATCACGATTAAGCACTTTGGCACTATCTACATTTATCTAACCCATCCCACTTAATCAGCAGCCTTTACCACTCACTGAAATTAGGCTCTATCAGTTCTTTGGAATACATCCAAATATATTGCATCCAAGTGACGCAGAGCATACTGTAATACTAGTTTACCTTTATACTGCATCTTTCGTCCCAAAGTACTTGGCCTATTGTACACTTGGCACACAATGAAAATGCAGTTAACTTTGAGATAGAAGACACCAGAAAATGCTACACAACTCTGGAGGAGGGTAAGGAAGGATCAAGCACACAATCCTGCTTTTACAATCCTGGCTCTAACATCCACACAGACATCAGAGCTGCAGTTTTTAAGGTCTGGCCTGAAAATTGACACTATTAACTGCATGGAACACAGTAAAAGACTAAGGACATGTCTACATTAAAAAAATATTTTGAAATGACTTATTTTGAAATAACTCCCAAAATAACTATTTTGAAATAGCGTGTTCACGCTACAGGGAAGCCTCAAAATTAGTCCGAGGCAGGCTCCCTTAATGTGGACATGCTACCTCGATTTAGAGCCCCAAGCCCTGGGGAGTAATTTCTTTGAATGATTCTGGGAAGTAGTTATTTAAAAAATGCAGCAGTAGAGCGTCGACAATACTGCTATTTCAAAATAAGCGTTATTCCTAATGGAAAGCAGGAGTTATTTTGAAATAACCAGCCCCTTATTTCAGAATAATGGGCTTGGTAGTATGGATGCTCCACTTGTTATTTTGAAATAAGGGGAGGTATTTCGAAATAGTTCCCTAGTGTAGACCAGGGCTAAGTTCTGAGCAATCTTTCATAGGTTTCAAGTTGCTCCAAGCTGTGTCATTTGCTCCAGGGAGACGCAATATTTCAAACCTGATGTTGAGAGGACAGAGGATACATACCAGCAGAACACTATATCTCTGGGTACTGTCTTAGGGCACGAGATGGGATAATGTGCTCTACTGGGGTGTGATTCCTACAGCTCACTAACATGCTGCATATTAATGGAAGGTGGTAGGTGATAACTAAGGATCTGCAGTCAGCAGCTTCTTTTTCTTTATTGAAGTAGGTTCTCCCCTTGTCATGCATGATGTGATCTGCTTCTCTGATGAAGTGTCATAGAATGACTGCGTATCGTGGGGCGCGCATATAGAAAGTCTCTGGGGTGGGTTCATGAGGAATGAGGTTGTAGAGCTTCTGCTGGATTGTATCCATGACTCAACAGGGTTTATGGATCAATAGAACAATCTGTAACATACACCTGCCTGCTGACAGTTAATGGCCCACTTCAGACACCAAATACAGAGTGGGGGGAAGTGCTGGGTCATTAGCCTGCACCAGTCCCTCCTCAGCCTGGGCTCTCCCTTACCCACAGGCAGGCTCCTTACTGCAGCAGCTTCCGTCCCAGGCCCGAAGTAAAGGGAGCACAAAGGATGGAGGAAAGTGGAGATGACTCAGAGTGACAAAGGGAAGGGAAAAGAGGAGCAGGGCCTTGAAGGGAAGAGGTAGAGAAGGGAGTGGGACCTCGGGGGAAAGAGGTGGGTAGAGTTGCCAGATGGTTTCAACAGAAATATCGGACACACTTGACATTACATCACAATCTACATTACATCTTATTTCGAAAATACTGGACATTTCTATTTTCTCATTTCTATTTTCTCCATTTGTTTCCCGAACAGAAAGCTCAGATACTGTACTGTCCGGTTCAAAACCGGACACCTGGCAACCCTAGAGGTGGGGCTTTGGGAGAAGAGGTGGGGTAGGGGTCCAGTTACCAGCAGTTAGAAAGGTGGCAACCCTATATTTCCCCAAACCACAGTAACTGAAATTTCTTCCCAGTCAAGAAAGAACCTTTTGCCAAAAGGGAAAAGCAAATATCAGTTCCCTTCCAGCAAAAACCTCTGCATTCAGGCTGCGTCCCACTGGTTTCCAGGGTCAGGACCACAGAGTATATAGGTAACTCCAGCATATATACATGTAAGCTTTTATCAATACAGTGTCAATATCAATGCTTTAGCACCTCTTGCCCAATGTCCTGTGCCTCTCTTATGATTTCTGTCAGATCAACTCACATGTAACAACACCCCAATTCAAACTGAACATTTTGACCTGGATCCTCAATTGGGATAGCTAATTTCAACAGCCTTCAAGAATGTGGGGCTCTCCAATTTAAAACAATAAAATTGTTAAGGAAGATTTAAATGCAATTTAAACTTAGGGTATGTCTACACAGCAAAATTATTTTGAAATAACAGCCCTTATTTCAAAATAACTTTCCTAGTGTCTATACAGCCAAACTGCTATTTCGAAATAAATTCGAAATAGCGGAGCGCTTATTTCGAATTTGGTAAATCTCATTCTACGAGGAATAACGCCAAATTCAAAATAGCTATTTTGAAATAAGTGCTGTGTAGACACTTATTTCGAAATAGGAGGCCTCCAGAATTTCCAGGGTGCCCTGATGGCCACTCCAGCCTCAACCAAGAACACTCCTCTTCCTTCCCTGCTCCCCGGAGTCCTTAAAGGGGTAGACTCTGGCCACAGTGCCTGTGCCAGCTCCAAGCCTGCCATCCCAGAGCCAGCAGTCACTGCCCCTGACTCAGTGGCACCAAAACAGGAGCCAGCAAGCCACTGGCAGCCAGCCCGCCACCACTCCCCAGGAGCAGTCTGCCAGCTCCCAGGATCCTGCCAGGGCCCGGAGAAGGTGCGCACCTTTCTGGTACAGGGCAGAGATCATGGACCTTATTCAGGTTTGGGGGGGATGCCTCCAATGTCCATGATCTCCGCACTAGATGGAGGAACACGGCCATCTATGGCAGAATAGCTGCCAGCCTGGCTACCAAAGGCCACATGTGAACCCAGGAGCAGGTTTGCATGAAAATCAAGTTGGCCCAGCGAGACCCTCAACGCTGAGCTTCCTCTCCCACTTCTTCCCTTTGCTTCCCCCTTCCAGCTCCCTCCTCCCCTCTCCGACCTCCTTTCCCCAGTCTCACCAGAGTTTCGTCTCACCCCTCCCCCCAGTTTTGTGTTTATGAAAAAACGTGTATTTTATTTTACATCAGGAAGGTGGTGGGGGGGAAGTGGAGAGTAGGTAGAAGGATGTGAGGGAGGAATGAGGCACAAGCCCCCAGTGGGGCAGACCAAGGAGACTGTTAGTGTTCCTTTGGGTGGAAGCTCTCCCGCAGGGCCTCCTGATACTGGACAGCTCCTCGATGGACTTCCCAGATGGCAGCCTGCAGAAAGTGCAGCCAGGCTCACAGCAACGTGTCCAAGAGAAGCACCAGAGTGCCCAGGGGCAGCTCCGGCTCCATGTTGCAGAGTGCTGTGGTGTCCCGAGTAAGGGCTACCAGAGCACGCAGAGACAAAAATGCTTTGCTGTTCCTCATCAAGGTAGGCAAGCAAGTATGGAAACCTGAGAACTGGCTGTCCGGGGGGGAGGGGGAGGGGGGAGGGTCCCTTTAAGCACAGGCCACAGATAGCCTCAGGCAGCAGCCACACAAAGTAAATCCTGACCTGATGCCTTGCTGGACCTGGTTCCGGCTGGCCTTAAATGCGATTCAGCGTCCACTCAGTGTGGACGCACTATTTTGAAATAGCAAAACGATATATCTTTTTGTGTAAACACGTTATTTCGAAATAAGCTATTTCAAAATAGCTTATTTTGAAATAATGCTATAGTGTAGACATACCCTCAGAGAGGAAATGCATAGAGAAAAATATTTATTAGAATCCTATGCAGTTGATAGGATACATACAAGAATTGCCTGCACCTTCATAAAGCAGGCTGAGAACACTATGCCTCCATTATTCAGGGCTGTGAACACAGAGGAAGAGAAGTATATACATACTTCAATAGCAGCTAACTACAAGGCTTCTCTAAGTTTATTTGACATAATGTTGTATGTAATGATTACAAATCCTGAAATCCTCTGGACTCTGAGACCAGATGGAATTAAATTGGTGTATTTTCATCTTGACAGGAAAAATGCAGTTTCATTTTACTTGAATAATACTAAGGCCTGGACCAGCTTTAGTCTGGAATGTAAATCTCTTCCAATACTTCCTTTTTTCCCCACAACATCCTTCTTAATCCTCCAGCACCAACCTTACAATTAATCTTTTTTTCTTTCTCCCTTGGAGACCTCTACTACCTTATTCTTCACTCCAATCTTATTCACCATGAAATACAGGATGTGCCAAATACATTGTAGCCTACCATTTATATTAAATGTCATGGAAACTGATTAATTTACAGTTTTAAAAATATGGTTTCAAACTTGTGTTAAATACTTCTGCTGCACAGTTCATGCAAAGCCCACGTACCGACGTAGTTCACGTTTTGCTAGAAACTTAGAATTTTGTTAAATGTTGTCATGCTAATCAACACATTTAAAAATGCTCACAAAAATAAAACAAAATAAAAATCCCAGTACTGGGGTCTCACAATAGGGACCATTTGTTCAGTTTGTATACATTGGCACTGCTTCATTGATGTCAATGGAGCTAAG